CCCTGCCTGACTGTAGTACAATAAAATAGCCTGTCATATTATTGTCAGGCTGTCATAATATGATATAAATGTCCACGTGATCTGCAAAGAGGGTGTCTCTAGGATTCTTTTCTAAGAGAAAATGGCTGCTATTCAGTTGAAATTCGGAAAACTCCACATGGCCAGCCTGTTAGTGAAGTGCCAATCCCCAACTCATGTTCACTGGTGGGCCTTTAATTTTTGTTGTTTATTAAACAACTGTAGTACATATTTATTTTAAAATGTTCATTTATGTAAAATAAAAGTATTAAAAATATTAATATAGAAATTTATAAACAAAACTACTTTGAGAACTGGAACTTAACTCATTCAAATACATTTTAACTTATATTCCACTTATGATAATTCCTGTAGAAATGTAACATTGTCGTAAATCAAGGACTTTCTGAATTATGAAATTACTGTCACATTTGTTAGTCAGACTAATAATAATTTATATAAATATTAATATAGTAATCAATTCTAAGTTTTTTTATTATTATCCTTTAATGTAACAATATATTTTAGCAATCAAAACTATGATGTACTCTAATTACTTTAAAATTTTGTTCCTATTGCTTAAAAGTTAGTGATTCCTACTATACTTTGACCAATTTATCTGTTCCTAAAACACAGAGAAGATGAATAGTTTCAGGTTCCAATCAACAACAGAGCTGGATGCTGAAGTGCGAGATTCTGTAAATATTAATACTTCACAAAAAAACAGCTTTCAGGACTGTTTTGACAAATGCTATAGACACCGGAATAGCTGTAGATAGAAGTTTCCATATTCTATATAGTACAACCTGTACCAAAAATTCAGTTCATTTGTTGGTCTATTTTGCATTTAAAAGCTTAACTGTTATAGAAAATTAGAATATAACACAGTTTTTCCACAGAAATAGCATTCAAATGTTTGATTAAAAATATATTTTAAGTGAATTTACTCTAATATTATATAGCCCTTAAGACTGCATAAATCAGTGATCACAGTTAAAGTCAATGTAAAAGCATGATGTGGTTAATTAATTTAAAGTACAAAAGAAGTGCCAAAGTTAACAAAACAGATATACTAATTTACATAAGTTACAATCTAAATTCAATACTCAATAACAGAAGAGCAACTAGACTGATTTGAAATACATTTATTTTCCTAAATAATATTGATAATGTTTCCTCCTGCCTGCACTCCTGCAAACCAACAAAACAATTAAAAAAAAATTTTTTTACTTACATAGTAAAAATGGCCTTATTTTCTCCCAAGTATTGTATTTTAGGCTTATTTCATACACAGATTAAAGGACTAAGAAAGGTAATATAAGTGTATCCATTCAACAATCTAAAAACATTACAGATTTATAACAAAATATACATAATTACACATTAAACTTTCATATTATTAAATTACATTATGATCTTAGTTTAAAAAATCATTTGGTATACTATCGTATTAATAAAATCAAGCTGAACAACTGCTTATAAATTAATCAAAACTCATACAAATCTCCAAAAGTTTGTTGCATTCCTGAAGTGTATGAAGCTCAATTTAACTGTCTTAAAGCGTGAAATCACTTTCACACATTAATATTCAAATATTTAAAAGTAACTCCTTACTTATGGCATGATTTTCAGATCAAATCCAATCTTCAGTTTCAATCATTCAAACACAACCTTTTCTAACCTACTGAAATTCATTTGAGTGTAAGCAGTTGAGGAAGCCACTAAGGTGCACAGTTGAGGAAGAATTGGCCGTGTCAATCACTCGATTGCATCCATGAGTAGCGTCGGCATAGAGTCGAATAAATGATCTCAGGACAGAGGATGGAATCTACCAGTAATTGTCACAAATTTATTTTATAAAATACGTACAAAGGTTACAATCACGTCAACTGCGATCAAGGGTTGGAGCGTGTGACGAGGTGAACAACTGGATGGTTGCACATAGACCCATAAAGTGAGTTAGCCCAGACTGATGTCAAGTAGGTTGAGGAAAGTGGTCAAGCCCCAGGTTGCCAATCACTACTGCACAGTAAGAAGTTACTTTTTGCTATTTATAAACAAGTGTTGATTCAAAGATAAGAATTTAACATACTTGAGAAAGTTAAATTCAGACAACTTCTCATGAAGGTTGAAGAAATGCTCAGAATACACTGAGAAAAGATGGGAAAGTACAGTTTGATCTCACGATAAGAAAAAAGACAGTCCTGTAATAAAGAACTATTAACAATTATAAACGGAAGAAAATCAAAAATAATAAAATAGTTTTAATTGCCTAGTTAACATTCATAGATAAAGCAAATACGTCATAATAAACAAGTTAGAATCATAAGTAAATTTGGATAATTGTGTAGCTTTAACACATTAGCAACGTTATGAGACACAACTTATACAGAGGCATTTGGCTAGGGCGGCTTTAAAAATTCATAATTTTCCTGTGAGACAGAACAATTATTTTGATAACCAATACAGCTACAGACATTCTATTCAGTCTAGAAATATTATATCATTACACACATTCAACAATATTATTTTAGCAATGTGAAGCCCTATCATAAAAAAAAAGTCAATTGTAAATGGTGAAAGTCACTTGTGTCTTGTGCACTTTGCATGTGGTAGTGCTTTTAGTGCAAACTCATTGATTCTATAATGGCCACATTCTAGATAATTCTTTGTGCACATGGGTTGTCATGAGTTAGCTAATTTGTTTTTTCTGCTAACATCATCATAATCATTTCCAAGTATCAGAGGGTGTTCAGACTTCTATTGGGTTGGATTATTGCTACATTTTCCATGCAACTCTTATGTCTTGTATTTGGCATTGTTGGCTAAGACTGTGTTGTTCACATTCTTATTAATCATGTGCTTGTGTTCCTTGATGCTTACAATCAGGCTCCTTGTTGTAGCTCCTACATATGTAAGTTAATGTTGAAAATGTTGATCTTGCAATGGTAAACTCCACCCTGCAGAATTAAAAATGCCCCACACATTGAAAGTACATTGCCGTTGCCAAGGTTGCTACGCAGACACACAATAAATGCTACTAGCAGAAGGGCAGATAGTACACAAAGCAAGTGACTACATTTTGTCCATACATACTGTCTTTGGCAGACAGCACTTTGCCTAAATTGTTTCAATAGAAAACATCAGTCTGCATAAGATCCAACTTCATCATATGTAAAACACCTTTTGCAAAAGTGAATTATATATTATCATTACAATAACTGTGAGTTATTATTGCATTTCAATTTTTAAAACTGTAATCTAGTATTTGGTAAATAAACATTGTAAGCAAATGTATTGACATTCTAAACTGTATGTTGTTTGAAATATAATAATAAAATCCAATTAAATAACTATTCAACAAGCTGCTTTTCTATATATCATTTAGATTTAGACATATTAATTCATTTCTGCATTGAAATTATGGGTCCTGAAGATATTCTACACCTCCTTTCTTAAGTTGTATTGCACCACATTATTTCTTGCTGCTGCAGACAAGTATACACTTAGTCAAGCATGCTGTCAGGAAAATAAAAAAAAAAAAACAATGCAGCCAAGGAGGAAGATTCCTTAATTTTTTCACAAATTTCCTGATGTTCCACAACTTTTCTCTGAAAAACTAATGAAAATCTCTGATTTTTCCCAACTTTCCAAGTGCATACGAACCCTATATACAGTAAGACCCTACTTAACGTTGATTCGATATAACACAGTCTGCTCGAAGCCTAAAAAAGCTAAAAATTTATGCTGATTCAAATTATCACGGCATTTCATTGATTATTCCCAAACACAAATCAATCAGTAAAAGGTGGCAATTTGTTGTAGCGCTGTGCGTTCCTTAAATCTATATTTGTTTGGTGCAATTTTCGAAAAAATGTGTCATCATGAACGCCGTAGGCAATATCGACTTTGCTTGACAAGAATTAACTGATAAATGCATGAACGTAGTGTGGAAGATGTTATGGCTGAAGTTATCCATGAATTCTCAACGAGAAGAGTCTATCGCTGTATCATTAGGTCGACCAAATTGTCAACCTAATCGATACAGCAGGACTAGGTGATGTAGATGAGCAGGATATTAAGGAGTTACTGCAGGTTTCTGATCAGTTATATCCTTACCAACAATGATTTCCAGAACTGGCAGAACAAGGAATTCATGTAAAACTGGGAAATAGAGATTCCGAAAACAAAGAACCCAAAAAATTTCTCTACAGACTTCCGTAGTAAAATTGTAGCGAATGAACCAGATTTTGAAATGAGTGCAAAAGAAAAATGAGGCATTTTGGATGCAATCTCTTGCTACCGACATTTGCATAAGGAAAGAAAAACAAAGCAAGAAATGAAACTACACGACTTTATCACAAAAAACAAGAAGTTCAGAAAAGCCACGACATTCGTCACAAAAAATGAACTCTACATTTCTGTGTTCATATGTTTAGGTGTTATTTAACATATGTTATTATGCAAATTAATATAAAAATAACTTAAAATTAAAGAATGTTTGGTCGCGTGTTCCCGTTTCCCTATTTGTTAAAATGACCTCGTTTAATGCTGTTTCGTTAAGCGCTTTGTTGTCTAGGAACGCATCCCCCACGTTAAGCAGAATCTTAGTGTATATTTGAAATAACTAGTTAAGAATTTATTTATTATTAAGCAGTTTATTATTAATAAATTCTTAACTAGTTACTTCAAATTTAATTACTAATCATTTCAATAATACAAAACTTTGAAGATTTGTATTATTTAGTTTATATATTGCTACAACATATTGAATAGGCTCTTACATAAAGAGAAAATGCAATTATTCTGATAAAAAACAACTACTTATTTAAATACTTATATAATGTTTAAATAAGTTATACTTAATTAATGAAATATAACTTGACATTTCTCTCATACTACATAACATGAATAGCAATAAAATTAAAATAATATACATAATTTTAATATGATTAGAAAAAATAGCAAAAGTAATTACTTACACTCATGACCTTCTGTAGCAACTTCCGTCACTGGATAATCATCCTTGAAAAATTATTTAAAATTATAAAACAATAAAATGAATACTTTTAAGTAGAGTTGATCCTCAATATAACATATTACTAGGATGAAGTAGTTTAATAACATGACTGTCTACTGTAACTTTATATAACATATGATAAGACATATAAGCTATACAATGCTAAATGTAATGGAAATAACACCAAACCGTCAAGATGGATGTAAACAATAGCTAGGGATCCTCTGCCTAATCAACCCTATGCATTAACTAAGTCAGTCTGATATTCTGAAATGCAGTAATTCCATTCTGATCTATCAACATTTGATTCTGATAATGTATTTTTTAATGTATTTTTAACATATAAATCAATGTAACTTCTGTGACAATACTGCCATACTTTAATATGTACAAAAAAATATGACAAATCTCTGCTAAGACAAAGGTCATTAACTGATCTGAATATTACATATTTTCAGCAATTAAAACCTGTGGTGAGATACATTATATGAAAAAATCAATCAAAACAATTAACCAGAATCGAAAGATTCATTTAACTCTGAGTCGTTTAATAAAAGTAATTTCTGAATTATTGCCAATTCCGTAATCTTTCAATAAATAATGATCGTTCATTAATTTCTGTCCTTCGAAATATAACCAGTAAGTCCTCCACACGTATCTCCAGCTAATCGTGCGCTTCTTTCCTTCTCGTTCCTGTCGAATAAAGCAAGGAAAATAAGTATCAATTTTAATATATTTATTAGAACCTTTATAAATCAAAACAAACATAATTAATATGTTTTGGGAGCAATCTATCCCAGATTTGTTGGCCCTTCTATCCAAGGTGGGCCTGACCATATCCATAATGGGTTAGATTAGAAGATCCGATAGTACTATAGAAGCATTATACTGCTTCTATAATAATACCAATTTCTTTCTTAATACTTTCAGAAGAGAATTTAGAAAACAACAACATAAGGCTTTAAAAGTTTAATTCCGACTGTCACCACTAGAGGGTATCATGTACCTCTTTTTGACAGCTATATTATCCCATTCATAAGCAATCACATGTTGAATCTTTGTACGTGCTATTGTTTTCTTTTGTACAAATTTCATTTGTTCGCTAATTATCATCCTTTAATTAATTATTAAAAATTTAACCTTTAGGCCTTAATATATTTAACCTTTAACTATTTAATATATTACTTGCACGAGAATATAAGTAAACTTACCAATTTAGTAGTCACGTATCTCCGAATGGCTTTCTTCAAGTCTAAAACATTTGCTTTCTGTTCAATAATTATATCGTAGACGAGTCCGTCTGCTCTTTTCACAAACAAAGTCATGGCCCGTCCTTGTTCCAAGGCCAAGAGCGAATTTAACTCTTCCAACGTCACTCCGTCCGGAAGATCGGCCAACAAAGGATCCGTCGCTATTATGCGAGAAATTCCCTTTTCTACCATACTTAAGGCTTCTTGATGAGATAATTGCGGACGTTTCTCTTCTTCCGTTTCTTCGCTCATGACGATGCTTACACCACTTCAAACGTAAACACAGAAACGAACATGCCGCCGTATTCGTTTAAGTGTTGCCAGACTGGTTAGTCTATCTGGCAACACTCAAATGAAATTAGCGCCATGGTTTTTTTTTTTATATCTGAAAAGTAAACGTTAAAACCTTACGAAATAACGTTTCTTAATTTAATGTTAATATTAATTTAATATTAATAATCAGTATATGTATATTTTTCTGCTTTGTTGTTGTGACGAATTATTTTAGAGTGAGCGAGGCGCGGGTGCCAAAATGGGTACAAGCGTCTCAAATTTTATTGATCATACGAATACATTTCTGTTCGTTATATTTTAACGCCCCTAAATCCAATTTCATTTTTTTAGAATATTAATTATCTGACATTAGTTAATTTAATAAAGTGAACCGGTGATCCTTATTTGCCAGATTCAAACCCTGTTCCAGCCATTCCATAATAATAATGTTTCATCTCTCCAGTGGTGAGAGCCGAAACCTTATTAAGTGTGATTTTGTGTCTATATAAAGTTTGGTATCATAAGGTCTGAGGCTGGCGCAGATATTTCTAGTTTACATTAAGTGAGTGTACAAAGTAGTAAACTGTGGGCCTATAAGTGCAGGTCACATATAATACGTACATTTACTTACCAATTTTTTATCGTAATAACAGAATGACAGGAGGAAAAATCTATAGCAGTGGTTATACAAGGATCCACGAAAGCATAGAAGGTTCTTGGGCGTGTTCTTGAAAATAAAAATGGACATCATTCATACTTTGTGCAAAGCCCATACCCATGTACTCGAATACTTAGCAGGTATACTCGAGTAAACGTGCCTGTGCACCTAAACGTACAGATTTGTGCCTGTCAAGATTAAATAAAACCACAAAAATATTTTAAGGCAGAAAGCTTAATGTTGTATATGTTATGATGTTTACCACAAACGAAATACTTTCACAAAATACAAAGAAAAACAGATTTGTTCATTCAAATCTTTCGTCTTATAATAAAAAGATATATGGGAAAAATGAGAGAAAAACATAATTTAAAAAAAGAAAAGTTGTTATATGGAGAAAACTTACTAGTTACATTGGGAAACATATATATGGAGAAATACTTTACTTTTCTTTACAACATGTATATTTTTTTCAAAGTTGTCGAGAATCCTGCAGTAATTCCAAAAGATCTTGAACGAGAATTANGAAGTCTGCAATGTATATATTGTAAATAGTTTTTTACATTTTGATTTTTCTGTACTTACCTTTTATACTCATTTGTACTCAATTTTATTTTTTATTTTTTGCTTGTCCTTTTATCCCAATTATTGCCGATGCAGGCGCTCTCTGGTCCCACGCCTTCCCTTCAAGCTATCCTTTCATACTTTATTTCATACTTCACACCCCATGCTTTCCCTTCTTTCCATTTCCAACAGGACATAAGTCTGTGGCAAACAGACAGCCCTCTTAACTCTTTATTAGAATGTAGAATGAAACTCGTTGGAAAATTTTTTAAATTAGCTGCTAGTTTTATTTATAAACAGTTAAATATTTACTATGTTTTATAAAAAATTTATATTTTTATTCAAAATAGAAAACTTGACCTATTATTGATAGTTCTTCACGCATTATTGCGTTTCGTGCATGTTTTCATCATTATTATGTAAAAAAACAACACTTTAGCTGTACAATATCAGTATCTTTTAAAACAGATAAGGGGAAAATCCAAATAAGTAATTTTCTATTATTTCACAACTGCAACGCAATACCTTTAACTAAGTAATACAGTACTTGAAAAAAATATTAAAAAAGTGTTATTCTTTAAAGATTTATAATTATTTATTGATCAGAAATTATAAATTTCATAACACTGCTTATTACTTATTTTAATATTTAAAACTGATTATCAAGATACACAATTTACGATATTTAACTTGACAGGTATGAGCTCGGATAAAAACATGTAGAAATTTTCAGATATTTTATTTACTTTATACTAATCGTATTTACGAATAACAGCTAATGTATATTATAAAATTAATACGCATTAAACGACCATTTTTATTTTCACAATTAAATTATTTTATCGTTATCATTTGTACGAAATGATACCACAAAGAGTACATTTATATGTAAGTAATTTAATGCTGATAGTATTACTTGAATCATTTCCGTTTATTGTTATTTTTAAAATAGTTTCATTTCTTTATCTATAATTAAAACAATTTTTGATATTTTAATGATATAACAGTTTTTTGAATTATAAAGATAGATAACTAATTCTAGGAGTTTTTCAGTAGTCATTAACAATAGGAAGTCATAATAAATAATTAAAAGTTTTAAACAGGAAATCAGTAGACACTTACACTGAAAATTTAGTGCAAACAATTGTAATTTGTTGTACATATACCATTTTGATTTATATAATATAAATGTCATAAATTCATTATATAACTTCATTTTAAAAACAATAAAAACAGGAGTAAGACACATTGAAAGAAAATCTGCATATATTTAAGTTATTTTTGCATTGCAGTATTGTTGTGATAAACCAACCACAAGCCAATTTTTTAAATTAACCTTTAGACAAACGTTCTTATCTTCTGACAAGTATTTTCAAGCGAAAGAAACTTTTTTGTACTATACATTATAGGATATGATTAATCGTTGGTCATAAATGAATGTCCTTATTCCATTTGCAGACTACTAAAGTTTGCTGTAGAGGTACAAGTTTTAGAAAAAATATCTGCAATTTTACTTATTGTTAGCGAACCCGAATTCCTCTTCACAATTTGCTGTAGCGTTGGCTGCAATTCTGCCAGGAGAAACTATTCTTAGTTCTATGTATATCAACATCACCGAAAGCAGCAGCTCTTTGCTTTCCAGTTCAGTATATCAATTGTTATTTTTGCTAATCAACTTCGGGCGTCTGCCAAATATATCTGCTTCATCCCAACAGCTAGGCATTGCAACTTTTGCATCTTCAATTTTTTCAGCTTTGTCAGAATTAAATATTTGAGTCACCTATTAATGAAATAAAGAAAAAAATCAGCGGTAAGTTGACTTAATAAATTCATTCTCTTTCACTGACTTATCTGCAACTTTCATGTGTTTCGTGTGCAAGAATAAAACATTTAGCTTTGTACCCAAATGGACAAAGAGGCTTTGGATGAGGATTGTTGGAAGATTTTTTTTCTAAACAATCTTTCTTGTAGCTCATATCAGAAACATTTTTTCCATTGATTCTATCAATGCATTTGTTGGGAAAAAGCAAATTTTTATATTTACAACTAATTGATAGAGGCCGTGAGAACACAGGTCAGGTAATATCCAGCATATCTGGATCAAGAAATTTATGTATATTCCAAAAATTTTGCAGGTGGTGAACATTGTCTGTGATGAAAACATTTCCATGTAACATAAGTGCAAATTTATAGGTGTACAATTTTTTTAATTGCAACTTAAAGACGTTTATTTTGCACAGTCAATCACAAATTTTTGTGTATATTCTATGAATATATATAACTTTCGTTGTTTGAGGTCCTCCAATTTAGTGCCAGTTTGTATAGAGAACAATTGGATACTCTAAATCGAGGTTTAATTGTACTGTATTAGAATACTGAGTTTGATATGACTAAATGCGAATATTGTGAAGGTTCTGATAAAATCACGTACAGTACATTGTATTTCATTTGTGTATATTTATAAAACTGGTAATATGTGAATTTAAAAAATATTAATGTTATATATTTATCGAAAATTTCTTAAATTTTGCATGGAGGATTATTTATAAAGGGAATGATGCTATTGAATTTTTGTGGTTAAAGGTCGAGGGGTTGAAAGATAAAGGAAGTCGTCGAGTAGGGTAGGATTTTACTATATGACCCTATAGCTTGTTGTTTTTTCTTCTCAGAAGAATTAGCTACATAATAATACAAGTATTCCTTTAGTAAATTTATTATACAGTATATTTTAATACTCATAAAATTATTTTGTTTTTCATTTCGTTATAAAAAAACTTATTAAATTGTTGTTTAATTATTATTTAACAATACTAATAAGTAAAGAACACATCTAAACAGTAGTTTCGATTTTCATGTATTTTCAAATACAGGAAATACAGGTTTATAATTTTACTATTCAGTACCGTGCGATTCCAGTTTACACAGGTTTTACTGTATTTTTATAGTAAATATTTTTATAATAAACTGAGTATCATCGAATTATTTAAACATTTTCAGCGATCATGTTTAAGGAGTTTCTTATAAAGTATCTTCTTATTTATTAAAATTATTCTTTCGTAAATTATTTAGTTAAAATTATTACCGTAACTGAAAAGTAATCAATGATAAGTAAACGTTATAAGAAAATTAATAAACATTAAATTATCGACTTGTCTAATGAAGAAATGAACAACCATAAATTATCCGAGTTCACAGTACTTATTCTCCGATAAATTTCTCAGATAGATAAACCGATATTCACTAAACTCTGCAAGAATATGTATTAACTTTCTGGCTTTATATTTCAGAAAACAGCAAGAAAAAATGCCAAAATTCGTAGAATGTTTAAGGTTCTTTGATTATATCTTATCTTGGAGTAGATTATATTCACAACGAAATAATTTATGCTTACGCGAGCCGTCAGCTGAATATTATGAAACGAAATTCATGAAAAACTAACGTAAAAATTTTGTTTAAAAACTTGGACAACAAACTGCAAACGTTAGTCTTGACTTTGCCCAAGCAATAGTTATTATCAAAAAGTAAACTATATGAATTTCATGTAAAAGAAAACTATAAGGTGAAGCGTCTACCAGTGACAAGCGGTTCTGTTCACCCAACATCAAGCGCGGTCGCACCTCGCCAAAACGGGCTGGCCACGTATTGTTTTATGGGTTTTCTCCACGTCTGAAATGATTGAATGGGGGTCACTTACTATTAAATGGATTTTCCGGATTTACCCCTAGGCAGATCATATAAGTGTTATGTTGCCATAATTGAAGAAATAAAAACAATGTAAAATAATAACAGTTGTTGAAATACAAACAGTTTATTATAC